TGTGTCCCAGTAGGCCAAAGGTCAAAGTGTTTATTTGTCACATACACAGTTAGGAAACGTGTTTCCCTGTACAATGAAATTCTTACTTTGCCGTCCATATGAATAACACAAAATACAAATGAAATATAAAGTAGACAAATAAGTAACACAAAATCTAAGGCACTTTAAGCAGCAAATGCAGCAATATAATAAAAATATGAGAATATAATAAGAGAATGTATGCAGTAGCATTTAGAAGGTGATAATCCTAGACAAAAATATATAACATATAAGATATATATAACATATTTTGCCATGAATTTTGACAAACCCTGTCAACCCTAGGCAGTGACCGGGTCAGCGGACATACAAGGACATTTAGCTTCTGTTCAAGCCAAGCTGGAAGGAACATACAGTAACTGAGCAGTTTCTGAGGAAATTGCACAACTAGACTGTTGCACAAATGACATTATTGTTGCTATGCTTGTATGTAGCTCACATTTCTGTTAAATCTGCACAGCAGTGCAGTGGTTAGCGCTATTGCCTCATAGCCTCATTGCCTTGTGTTGACAATCAACACTCCTCCCTCACCCTCCCCACCTCAGATCCAGCAGCTGCTCCCCCAACAATCACCACCCTTCTGGCCAGCCCCCCACCTTTAACGATCTGTGAAAAGGATGTGTGGCCTCTTTAAAAGACAAAAGATCAGAAAGGCACCAGGCCCAAATGGTGTGACCCCCTCCTGCCTGAAACTGTGCGCTGATCAGCTGGCCCCCATCTTCACACTCATCTTCAACAGGTCATTGGAGCTGTGTGAAGTCCCCTCCTGCTTCAAACGCTCCACCATCATTCCAGTCCCCAAGAAACCCCCCATCAGTGGACTACAGACCTGTCGCCCTGACATCTGTAGTTATGAAGTTAGTGGACGATGCAGTGAACATGACACTGCATTACATCCTGCAACACCTCGACTCCCCAGGGACCTACGCATGGGCCCTCTTTGTGGACTTCAGCTCAGCGTTCGACACCATCATCCCAGACATCCTCCACTCCAAACTGACCCAGCTCACTGTGCCTGCCCCCACCTGTCAGTGGATTACT